ACAAGAAAATATGATGATTTACTGCATATTATCACACAACTAGAAGAGAGGATATCAAATGTTCACATCACAAAGAAATGATTAAGTTTTATAGTGATGAATATGTTAATTTCCCTTATTAGGTCATCACTCTTTTTGTACATGTATTGAAATATAACTCTGTACTCCATAAATATGTACAACTGATGTTTCAGTAAAAATTCATTTAAAAAATAAAAAACGTATTTTAAAAAGATATTTTATTAAAATATGTGCATAAATGAGAATAGGCAGAATGTTCTGAGCCAATGAGATTAAAGGAGATTTTTAAAAAGTAGGTATTATTATACTCATGCTGAAGAACTGCTGTACAATATAAGTAACATGAAAGGTCACATGTTAGTGAAAAGTCACTAGCACAGCTAGCATGTGTTGAAGCCAAGATTCAAACGTTGGCCATCTGGCTCTAGAGTTATAAGCTTAACCACTATTTTGCTTCTTTGCATATATCGAATATGTTAGTGTGAAGTTCAGAGAAGATGAAAACTAACGTGGGGATGGATAACAATATGAAACTAGTCAGTATCTTAGATGTGCTAATGCGAATGCTATGATGCAATTAACTCAACTCTATGAACCTAAAGAGGAAAAAGAGGAAGAGGAGGAGCAGAAAGAGGAGAAAAGAAATAGTCTAACGAACTGAACAGTTTAAGTGATCAACATAAATATTGTCAGTGGAAAGACCAGAATCTGAGTTTTCTGGCTTTTTTTCATGTCATCTACAGGTAAAGTAAATAAAAATGCTAATAAATTAAGTGCTTTAAGTTCAACTTTAGGAAATTAATCTATTTTTATTTTTTTATTTTACCAATATACAATGTAGTTGATTTTCGTGTCCCTTTATTGATTCCTCCCTCCCTCTTCCCTCTCCCCTCTCCCCCCTCCCACCCATCAACATCATATCTGTTCACTTGTCCTAACAAGTTAAAGGAATTGTGATTGTTGTGTCTTCTTCCCTTACTGAACACCCATTACCTGTGTTTTACTGTTCATTATAGCAGAAAGATTAAGTGTACTATGCTGACAGAGTTTGGATGTGTATTCCCTGCCAAAAATCATGCGGAAATCTGATCCCCAATGTGGTAGTGTTGGGAGCTGATTGAGTCATGGGGGCGGATCCCTCATGAATGGATTAGTGCTCTCCCTGGGGGAGGGGGTATTAATGAGTGAGTTCTAACTCTATTAGTTCCCGTGAGAGCTGGTTGTTTAATAGACCCTGGCACCTCCCTTCTCTCTCTCTCTCTCTCTCTCTCTCTCTCTCTCTTTCTTCCTCTTGCCATGTGATCTGCTTATACCCGCTGGCTGCCTGCTGATTTCCACCATGAGTAGAAGCAGCTGGAGGCCCATGCCAGATGCTGCCAGATGCGGCTGTCCCAAAATTGTAAACCAAATAAACACCTCTGTTCTTTATAAATTGCCCAGTCTCAGGTATTCTGTTATAGGAACACAAAATGGATTAATACAATACTCATTTCTATTTCATTTGAATTTCAGTCAAAGGACATGCACTTTATAATTCCAGCCCTTTGAAATTTATTGAGTATCAATTTATGGCCAAACATGTCCATTTTTATAAATATTTCTTATGCAATTGATGGGAATGTGTATTCTTCACTTGCCAATAAGCTCATTGTCCTCATACAATTACTGAGAAAGATGTGTTAAGATCTTACACCATGACTGTAGATTTGTCTATCTGTCCTTTTCTGCTTTATAAATGTTGAGGCCATATTATTATGTACATACAAATTTATTATGCTGTGTCTTCCAGATGAATTAAATCTTTCATCATTATGAAGTGATCTTTCTCTAGAATAATTTTTATTTGCTGAAAAATCTATTCTGACAAATATTAATGTAGCTATACAATATTTCTGTTGGTCAGTGTTTGGGTGAAGTATGTTTTTGAAATCCTTTTACTTTCCTTATGCTTTATATATGCCTCTTGTCACACGTAGTTGGATTACTTTTTTCAAATCCTGCTGATAGTCTTAGAATGTTTAGTTCACTTACAGTTAATATAATTAGGGGTATATTGGTTTTAATTCTGCCATTTAGTATGCATTTTATATTTTCCTACCGATCTGTTGCTTTTTCTGTCTTTTATTGCCCCCTTTCAGATTTGTTTTATTATTTTATAATATTACTCTGTCAATTTGAAAGTTTAACATTCATCCTCTGTTTTACTAGTGCCTACCCTTGAATGTACAAGAAGTTATACTTTACCAAAGCTTAATAATAAATATCATTTTTATCTTTTTCCTGGACAAAGAAAAGAAGCCTACTTTCAGTTCTCTTTACTTATATGCTATTGCTTTATGCATTTTAGTTCCATAAATATCCTGAGCCCCAGAAAACATTATTATTGTTTCCTATAGGCAATGTTTATTTATATTTAACCACACATTTATTATTTTCATTACTCTTAATTGCTTCCAACATTGCCAGTCTTCCATCTGTGGCCATTTTCCTCTGCCTTAACAACACTCTTTAGTACTTCCTTAAGTAGGAGTCTGCTGTTGGCATGTTCTCTCAGTCTTTGCTCTACTTTAGCATTCTTTTTTTTTTTTTTTCAGTGCATTGACACTATTATTCCAACATCTTCTGGCTTTCATTGTTGCTGTCGAGAAAGCATTTGCCCCATCTTATTATTGTTCTATTGAAGTCAATCTCTTTATTTTTTTCCTCTAAGGCTGATAATAATTTTTTTTCTTTTTTTCTTTAATGGCACTATGATGAGTCTAGATATCAACTGCTTTTTATTCATTCTGCTGGAGACTTGGTGAGCTCTTTAAATGTGAGAATCAATGTCTTTCATCAATTCTAAAAGCCATTAGTTCTTCAAATATTGCTTTTCTGCCATTCTTCTCTCTCCTTGTGGAACTCTTCTCACTTTATACTATATGTCTCTTATCCTCTTATCCTCTGTTTTCTATCCTTCCAATTTCCCAAGCTTCATTCATCACAGTTTCTTCTTACCAATATCCAATTATTCTTGCTTTAGCCATGTGTAACTGCCATTGAGTTCTTACTTTTTCATATTGTTTAAGCTCCATATTTTCTAGTTGTTTCTCAAATCTTAATGTCACTCAAACTTTTGCAGTTTCTTGATGAAATATTTAAGTTCTGCTTGTAATTTCCATGTGCACATTATAAATAGTTGTTTAATGTCAATGTCTGAAAATTCAACTATCTAAAGTGCCAGTAGGTTCATTTTTATTATCTTTTATTGTCTCATATTTGGTTTATGTTGTATTGTCTCTTCACATATGTTTATCATTGTATTTCCTTGACTACATATGAAAATTATTGAAAGAAATAATTTGAAGCTTAGGATAATGATTTACTTTTTGCTTATGCCAAAAATGTTGGAAACATGAATAATATGAAATCACTTTAATCCAATTTCAAAGCTCAAGATTTTTTTGGTTTCATAGATGCCTTGAACCAGTGGTGAACTTCATGTCAAGGGTGGTTTAATCCTGGCCCATTCTTATTGCTGGTGTACAGGCCTTTGTGATCTCAAATCTAAGTTCAGGTTGGCTAACCCTTGCCAGACTCTGTATTTCCTACTTGGTCCTCCTTTGCTTGTGAGACTGTAAAATGGGCTTCTCAACCTGTCAGTCATAACCTCCGGCTTGCAAATGCATCATTGGCAAAAATGAACCAAAATTCATGATCATTTTTCCTGGATTTGTTGTCTTTTTCTGGATCTTCATAAAATAATCCCTCACTATTTTATTACGTTCTTAATGCCTTTAGTATTTTATCCATATTTTTAATTGTCTTCAGCATATGAGTCATTGCAAATTACCCAGTCTGCCCTTATTATAAGGTGATGCCTAATATTCTAATTTAATTTATCCATGTATTTCCTTTGTAGGCACCATAAAAGCTTTTGTTGGATGAGCTCTTTGAGGAGGGGTCGGGGTGGTAAATCTGTGAACCCTTGAATTTATGTCATATTGTGTACATAGGAACATTTTTTACTGGGAAAAGTTTCATGGCTTTTTATCCAAAGGTGTCTGTGTTATATATAGAAAGAACAATCTAGAATCAAACAATCTTAAAACTTAAATAAGTTAATTTGATCAATAAACTCAGAGTCAGAATCTCTAGATGATATAAGTAAAGACTGTATAGAGGTGCTGATCTCATAAACTTTATCCAAATCTTTTACAGAAACATTTTTGAAGAGAAATTATTTAATAAGACACAATATAAACTCCAATTGGAAGATGAAAAGAACAACAACAGAGAATTGTAAAAGCCTGTAATTCAAATTGGTTAAATTTCTTGACTTTAATATTGGTATTGCTAAGGCATTTATAAATATCTCATATATAAGCAATAACATGATCACTTCTTTCCCTGTAAACTTCCCCAAATCCGAAAAGAAAGAAGTAGCTTTTTTTCTATGTTTGTATAACCAGAAGTCAAGAAAACAATTAAAACTTAGGGAAATAGTATATTTTAGGTTTAATAGCAGCATAAATTTAGACATGTTTACTTCATAAAGATTCAATTACATTATTGATTTTTCCACTGAAAAGGATATGGAATTAGAATAAAAATATTAAGGTTAATATTCTGGAAAAGATGTATCTTTTTAAAATTTTAAATATTATATTTTTAAAATTTAGACTTTTATATCTTTGTCCTTTTCAGAGCATTAAATATCTCAAAATTTTTTGTATCTGTGTTGCTGAATTCATGGGCATATCAATGTATAAAATAATTCAGCAGCATAAATGAAAACTTTACATATTCACATACATTACATTTATTTCATTATTGTTAACCTAAATATCAGATAAATAGGTTAAGAATAATTACTAAATAGAATAATCCCGGTCAAACGCAAATGTTACCAGTCGACGTCTGTACGTTGTTCACAGTACATAATCCGAAGGTATTGAGCATAGCCGCTGCAATTCTAATGGCCAAGAAAGTTTCATTACCTATAGAAATTGCCCAAACAATAGCAATCTTCATGATGGCCTTAGTCCGCGAATTGAAACGGCTATGCTCAATAGGATTACGTATTGCTACATACCGATCCAGCGAGATAGCGCAGAGGTGCATGATGGACGCTGTTGAAAATAGCACATCCAGAGAAATCCAGACGGGGCACAAATATCTAGGTAGTGGCCAGACATAATCTGAAAGGGAACAGAGAGAAGACAAGAACATGTTATCCAAATTGTACTGGCTATAGTTTAAATTTTAGTCTACTTATTTTTTCCTCTCATAACCTAAGTTTTTTTTTTTTTTCTTTTTTTTCTTTTTTTCTTTTTGTCTTTTGTCTTTTTCCGTGTCCGGCAACGGATCGCAACCCTCAGTGTTGCCCCCGTACCGGACTGGGGACCGGCAATGGGATTGCAACCCTCGGTGTTGCCCCCGCGCCTCGCTCAGCCAGTGAGCGGGAACCGATCTGTATGTGGGATCCAACCCTCGGGCGGGAGCGCCGCCACGCTTCCCAAGCAGTGCACTATCCAGTGCGCCACCCGGCCGGCCATAACCTAAGTTTTTTAAAGAAAGTGAAATTTGGGAAGCATTTTTTCCAATAGTAATGAATGGTGATGATGGTGGTGATGATGATATCTTTAGTGTTACATAAGTTTTTATTGAGGTAAAATTAACATAACATAAAATGAATCACGTTGAAGTATACAGTCCAATGGCATTTAGTACATTCACTATATCGTGTAACTATCACCTCTCTCTTGTTCTGAAACATGCCGTCACTCCCAAAGGAAACCGGGTACCCATGAAGCAGTCATTCCTGATTCTCCCCTCTCCCAGTCCCTGGCAATCTCTAACCTAGTTTCTGTTTTTATGGATTTACCTAATCTAGATATTTCATATACATGGAATCATAAAATGTGTGACCTTTTGTGTCTGGCTTCTTTCACTTAGCATGTTTCTGTGATTCATCGATTTTCTGGCATGTATGAGTACTTCATTCCTTTTTATGGCTGATGCTGATGCTGTGATCGGTTGAGATTTTTCTGGATGCTCTTGTAAATAGAATTGTTTTCTTGATTTCCTTTATGGATTACTTATTGCTGTGTGTAGAACTAAAACTGATTTTTCTTGTGTTGATCTTGTGTCCTGCAACTTTGCTGAATTCATTTATTGGATCTATTTCTGTGTGTGAATTCTTTGGGATTTTCCATATATAAGATCATGTCATCTGCAAACAGAGATACTGTTATTTCTTCCTTTCCAATATTCCTTTGCCTTTTGCTTTCTTTCCTTGCCTGTAATTGCTCTAGCTAGAATTTCAAGTACAATGTTGTATAGAAGTAATGAAAGTGGGCATCCTGTCTTTTTTTCTGGCTTGTTTTTTTTCCCCTTATTTTAGAGGGAAATCTGCCAGTCTTTCACAATGAATGTGATATTAGCTGTGGATTTTTCATAAATGCGTTTATCATGATGATGAAATTCCCTTTCATTCCGAGTTTGTTGAGTGTTTTCTATCATGAAAGGGTGATGGATTTTGTCAAATTCTTTCTTCTGCATCAATCGAGATGATCATGTGGTTTGTTTACCTTCATTCTATTAATATGATACACTGCATTGATAGATTTTTGTATGGTGAAACATTCTTGCATTCCTAAAATAAATCTCATTTGGTCATGTTGTATAATATGGTGCTGAATTTAGTTTGCTAGCATTTTACTGAGGATTTTTGCATCTACGTAGGCGATATTGGTCGTTAGTTTTCTTTCCTTTTGATGTTTTTATATGGCTTTGTTATTAGGATAATGCTGGTCTCATAGAATGTGTTATAAAGTTTTCCCTCTTGTTCTATTTTTTAGAAGAGTTTGAGAAGTATTGTTTTTCATTCTCCTTTAACTGTTTTGTAAACTTCACCAGTCTTGGGCTTTTCCTGTTAGGAAGTTTTCAAAATGATTCAATATATTTACTCGTTATAGGTCTCTTCAGATTCTCTACTTTTTCTTGAGTTACTTTTGGTAGTTTGTGTTTCTAAGAATTTGTCCATTTCATCAAGGTTATCTAATTTGTTGAAGTACAATTGTTCATTGTATTGTTTTGTAATCCTTTTAATTTCTATAAGGTTGGTAGTATTGTCCCCACTTTTGTTTCTGATTTTAGTAATTCGAGTCTCTTTTTTTTTCTTGGTCACTCTAGCTATAAGTTCATCAACTTTCTTCATCTTTTCAATGAACCAACTTTTGGTTTTCTTAATTGTTCTTTTTTCCTATTCTCTATTTTATCACCACTTTAATCTTTATCATTTCAGTTCTTTTGATAATTTGGCTTAAGCTTGCTCTTCTTTTTCAGTTTCTTAAAGTATAAAGTTAGGTTATTGATTTGGCATTTTTTCTTTTTTTAAATGTAGCCATTCAAAGCTATAAATTTTCCTCTGAGCACTGCTTTTGCTACATCCCTTAATTTTTAGTATGTTAAGTTTTTATTTCACTCTTCTCAAAGTGTTCTCTAATTTCATTTATAATTTCTTCTTTCACCCATTGGTAACAGAGTGTTGTTTGATTTCCACATATTCATGAATTTGTCAGTTTTCTTACTGTTGCTAATTTCTAGTTTCATTTCTTTGTGAAGATACTTTGAATAATAATATTTTAAATTTATTGATGCTTGTTTAGTTGCCAGACATATGGTCATCCCAGAGAATGTTCCATGTGCACTTGAGAAAAAATGTATTTTCTGTTGCTGTTGGAAAGATTGTTCTATATATGTTAGAATTAGTTGCTTTATAGTGATGTTCAAGTTCTCTATTTCCTTAGTGATCATCTGTTTAGCTGTTCTATTCATTATTGAAAATAGGGTATTGATGTCCCCAAGTATTATTATACATCTTTCTTTTTCTCCCTTCATTTCTTTTGTTTTTTGTTTTCTGTATTTGCTGGGGTCTGTTAGTTGCATATATGTTTATAACTATTATATCTAGTTGGTGACTCAACACTTTTATCAATATAAAATGTCCTTTTTTGTCTTTCATAACAATTTTTATCTTAAGTACTATTTTGCCTGATACTAGTTTAGCCACCGTAGCTCACTTTTGGTTACCTTTTGCATGGAATATCTTTTTCCATCCTCTCACTTTCAACACATGTGTGTTCTTAGATCTAAAGTGATTCCCTTATTGACAGCATATAGTCGGGTCATGTATTTTTAGTCACTCTGCTACTCTTTGCCTTTCTATCAGAGAGCTTCATCCATTCACATTTAAAGTAATTAAAAAAGAATTTACTTCCACCATTTTCTGTATGATATATACCATTATTTCCTCTGTTACTGCTTTCATTTGTGATTAACTGATTTTTCATAGAGTACTGTTTATTTTCTTATTTCTTTTCCTGTATATTATTTTAGTTTTTTTTTCTTAGTGGTTAACCTGGTAATTACAATTATCTTTTTTTATATAAAAATCAATTTAATTATACATAATTAGTTTTAATAGTATACAAAAATTTTGCTTCCATACATCTTTCTCTTCTATTGTTATTGTCACAATTTGCATCTTTATACATTTTCTGCTCATTAACATAGATTTATAATTATTGCTTTATGCATTTTCCTTTTAAATCAAATAGAAAACCAAAAGAGAAGTAACAAATCGATAACACAATTCTACCGGATTTTATATTTGCCTTTGTCACTGCCTTCGTTCCTTATTTTTTCATGTGCCTTCAAGGTACTGTCATGTGTCTTTTCATTTCATCCTGAATGACTCCTGTTAGCATATATTTTAGAGTTGGTTTGCTGGTGATGAACTTCCTCAATTTTTTGGTGTACCAAGGAATGTTTTAATTTTTCCATTTTAATAAACTAATCAATTAATTGATTAACTTATCTTTTTTATTGAAACCTATTGACTATACACATTTGTGAGGCATGGATTTAACTATCAGTATTTGTGTATAATATGCGATGATCAAATCAGGATAATTGGCATATTTGTCAAGGCTGGCAAGTTAGCTCAGTTGGTTAGAATGCAGCCTTATAACACCAGGGTCATAGGGTTGAATCCCCATACCAGGCAGCTGCAAAAATCAATTATGAATAAATAAAATGTCTCAATTTTTAAAGGATAGTTTTGCCAGATATAGAATTCTTGTTGGGCAGTTTTTTTTTTTCTTTCAGCACTTTAAATATGTCATCCCACTGCCTTCTGGCCTTCATGGTTTCTGAAGAGAAATTCATCATTAATCTTGATAAAGATCCTTTATATGCAATGAGATGATTGTTTCTTGGCAGCTTTCAAGATTGTCTTTCAACAGTTAGACTACAATGTGTCTTGGTGTGGTTCTCTTAGAGTAATTCCTGCTTGTAATTTATTGAGTTTCTTGGATGTGTAGATTTATATAATTCCTCAAAGTTGGGAAGCTTTTGGCCATTATTTCTTTAAATGTTCTTTCTGACCCTTTCTTTTTCTCCGCTCCTGGGAATTTTATTGTGCATCTGTTGGTGCACTTGATAGTGTCTCATAGGTCTCTTAGGCACAGTAATTTTTCTTTATTCCTTACTTTTCTGCTCCTCAGAATGGATAATCATTTATATTCACATTCTCTGATTCTTTCTCCTGTCTGCTCAATTCTGATGTTTAATTTCTTGATTGAATTTTCAATTTAAATTATTGTACCTTTTATCCCCCAAATTTCTATTTGTTTTGTTTTTCTTCATAATTCTATCCCTTTAATAATATCCTCTATTTGTTGAGACCTTGTTCTTCTGGTTTCCTTTAGTTCTTTGTCTATGGTTTCCTTTGGCTCTTTCAGCATATTTGAGGCAGTTGATTTAAATTCTTTGTCCAGCAAGTCCAATGCCTGAGCTCACTCAAGATCAATTTCTTTCTTTCTTTTTTCTTCCTGTAAAAGGGGTTTTAATTCCTTTGCATGCCTTTTAATTTTGAATATTATAATGTGGCAACTCTGTAAATCAGATTTCCCTCCCTTCCTGGGTTAGTTGTTGTTACTTGCGGGTTCCTTTTGTTTTCCTCTGACTTTTCTAAACTGTTTTTGTAAAGTCTGTTTTCTTTGTCTTTTGTGACCACTGAAATCAGTATTCTATTAATTAAGTGACCATCTAGTATTTTGACAGAGATTTCTTAAGTACCTGTAGGCATAGAAAGAAAGAACAGACACCCTCTGTCTTTGCAGATTGGCTCTAT